AAAAAAAAAAAAAAGAACTTGGTCTTGGAGTCAGCCAGACCTGGGTTTGAATCCCAGAACCACCATTTGCATCAACTCTCATTTCTGAGTTTAGTTTCACTGTCTATAAAATGGAGACTAGAGGATACACTACCTAGGGTAGTTATTTGGATTAAACGAGACACTTGCTTCAATTCATGCGTGAGTGGTAGAAATGGGTTCTCCTGTAGGTCTAGCAGATTCCAGAGCCCACACTCGCCCTTTCTCCTCCTATCTCTTTTATGTTTAATATATGCTTTGTTTCCTTTTTTTTTTTTAAACTTATACAATTTCACCTTGTATTTCCCCTATGACCTAAGAGTTACAGACAGCTTTTAAAAATCCAGGGAGAAAAGTTTTCGGTGGTTTGGTTTTGTTACTCATTTTCAAGTTTTACTCCATTGTCGTCAGAGAATGTTGTTTGTATAATTTCTGCCTTATGGAAATTATTGTTGTTTTCTTTGGGAGACTAATCCATGGTGAATTTTGGAATTGTTCTATGTGCATTTGAATTGAAAGTGTATTCTCTGTTATCAGGATACAAAGTTTGTGATGTAGCCAGATCTACCTAATTAATTATGTCATTAAGGGCTTCTATGTTCTTACCCATTTTTGTCCACGTCCCCTGTCTTTGACTGAGAGTGGTATGTTAAATTACCTAATATTAGCATGTTTCTATTTCTTCTTGCATCTTCTGCAGTTTCTGCTATAAAGGTGCTGTTGGGTTACTTAACTATTGAATCCTTCTTTGGAATTCTCTCCTTTAGCATAAAAATAGTCCTTCTTTGTCTTAGCTGATGCTTTTCAGTCTGCATTTTATCTTGTTACCTATCAAAATGAAGATTGCTGCTTTCTTTTTGTTAGCTTGTATTCACTTTGTACGCTTTTACTTTTTAAAATCACTTTGTGTTTGGAGTGTCTTGCATACAGCAAAGAGTTGGCTTTTGGAGAGTCTGTATTTTTTACTGCTACTCTATACTGGGCCCAGCGTATAAAAAATGTGTTTCCTTTTTCTTTTCTTCTCTTCCTCAAGCAGGGGCAAGACTCACTAGGTCTCTAATCTCTTTGTGTGTCTTGGGTTGCCTTTATTCCCCTTGTCAGCAGTAGTTCTGGACCCATCCGGACCTCCAGTCCCCTCCTGAACCCTGTGCCTTAGCTGGCTCACATTTTCAGCTCTGCCCCGCTGGGCCTCACACCTAGCAGGACAGGCTGTCCCTCTCCCATGTGGGTAGGGGGGACCTTATACACGCTCCCCAATGGTGGACACGAACAGCACCAACATAAAAACTTAAACACACATTCCTCTCTAGTGGACTGACACACTGAGTGAAATTTCCAACATCTGGATTAAGGCCTGATGTCTCCTGAAAGAGTCTTTAAAATATAATTAAACAACCTCTGAGAACTATAGCACAGAAGCCCGCAGCTGAAAGAACAGTAGAAATCACTTACTTAAATTCTCTCCCCAATGCATTAATCGCTTCGACGCTATCCCAGTATATTTTCCAGACTCTGTTTGCATTTTTCTGGTAATGGCTAAACTGCCACTGTCCCCTTTTGTACAGGCATGGGTCTGAAATCCAGCTACACCATACAGTAGCTATATGACCTTGGGAACTCATAAGCACTCTGGGCCTCAGGATTTTTTTTTTTTTAATCTGCAGAACGAGAATGATGATAGAAACCAAGAGGACTGTTAAGAGGATTAAATACGGTTACAAATTGAAATGCCGATAAGGTCCATAATGCCCAGGCAGGTAATGTGAAGGAGCAGGCAGGTAATTAACTGAATCCCTTAAGTGCAGGCAATAGGAGTGATGAGAAGAGTGTGTTCTTGTCGAACGAGAAGCCTCTACTGGGCTGGCGTAGACTGTAGCCCTGCCTGAAGCAACATGGGCCCAATATTGCCAGATCTTGCAATTTTTCTAGAAGAGCAAAAACCTGGCTTTTTTATGTGAAATTTACCAATGATTCAACATAATAATGAATTCAAATATTTTTAAAACACTAGATAAACCATAAAAAGGTCTATCTGTGGACTGGTTACACCTGGGGGCTTCCACTTTGCAGTCTCTGGTCTAAAGTAACTAGCGTAATGCCTAGTATAAGATAGGCAACGCACTAAATTATGAATTCATCAGCTCTGAAACCTTAGACATCAGAGTCATAGGGGAAAGGACTTGCTTGATTGGGTGAGGGAGAATCCAGGGAAGAGGACACTGAGTGTAATCAGGACATCAACCGCAGGCCCGGGAAATTGGCAGGAATCCAGAGGGAACAACAGAGAGGAGGAGCGAATCATCTAACTCCGCTTCTTCCCCAATCTCTCCAAAGGCCTCCCAGTCGGTCTGCTCTGGTGCTTCTGTTTTGCTGATACTCTCAAACAACCAATTCCATCCATTCCTGTGCAGATATAACCAACAAAGGATGTGTGGCAGCGTGGGGAGCAAGGGAGTAAAGACACAGTTGGCTGAAGTCAAAAGGGCCCTAGCAGCTTCCTTAAGAGTTGGCTTATTGGGAAAAAAGCATTGAGCTGGGGGCCAAGGGCGCAACTTTCTCCCTGCTTCTTTTCCCTCTGGCTGTTCCCCACCAGCACCTCTGAACCCAGCCAACTATTTCCCACTCAGGCAGGTTGCAGCTGTTGCACATGTTATAAATAAGGGCCAGTAGAGCTGGTCCTATTTTTAGCATTTTAATGTAGATGCAAAGGTCACCAAGATTCCCCATTTGCTGGCTTGAGTCCTTTCTCTTTTCTTTCTTCTTCTATATACGTCTTATTTTTCTCTTTCTCCAAGATGCATGCTTCTGAGTTCTGATGAATTAAAATAAGACTTAATGGGAGAGCAAACCCAAAACAAACCCATTGCCATCAAGTCAATTCCAACTCATAGCAGCCCTATAGGACAGCGTAGAACTGCCTCATAAGATTTCCAAAGATGTAATCTTTATGGAAGCCAACTCTCACATCTTTCTCCTGCGGAATGGCTGGTGTGTTTGAACCACTGACCGTTTTGGTTTACAGCCAAGTGCTTAACCACTATGCCACCAGAGCTCCTTCTGGGGGACAGGAACGCCAAATACTTGCTTGCTCTTGGCTGGACTCCTAATAACCTCCATGAGGCTGGCTGATACATCTATCCTGCGGCATGAGAAGCCATGCACAGACTTTAGGAAACAGCACTCCAGGCTTATACCAAAGCCATTCCTTTTTTTCTCTTGAGCATAAGGGAGGGTTAGAGTGAAAAGCATCTCTAAGGATCATGTCATCTAACCCTTCAAGGACACAGTTGAGGGCACTGAGGCCTAGACAACCAAAAAACCAAGCCAGTTGTTGTCGAGTTGATTCTGACTCATGGTGACTCCATATGTGTCAGAGTAGAACTGTGCTCTATAGAGTTTTCAATGACTGATTTTCAGAGGTAGATTGCCAGGCCTTTCTTCCAAGGCACCCCTGGGTGGACTAAAACTGCCAAACTTTTGGTTATCGGCCAAGCATGTTAACAGTGTGCACCACCCAGGGACTCCCACTGAGGCCCAGAGGGGCTGATTTGCTTGTTACTACCTAACATTAATTATAAATACTATTATGACTTACATTCAGTGGAGGTCTCCCTGTACTAAGCACTTTACATGGATTTACTCATTTAATCCTAACAACCCAATGAGGTATATATATTTTAATTACTTCCATTTTACGGATGATAAAACTGAGGGTAAGTAGTTTTGAGTAACTTGCCCAAAGTCATACAGACTGGCAATGGCAGTCAGGGAAGAAACTCAGGATCTTAACTCCAGTTCCTCAGCTCTTTCCAACCAGAGCACAGTGCACAAACCCTTCAAATCACTATTCCACGTGGCTGAAAGAAAGGAAGGAAAGAGAGAGAAAGAGTGAAGAAAGAGGGAAGCCCGGCTTGAACCCACTCACTCTCTCAGTGTGACCCTTTGGTGCCCTTCTTTGGAAACCACTGAGTGTTTTCAGAATTCTAACACAGCCTGACAAAGCATTCTCTTGACCCCAAAGGCCAAAGAGCTGCAGAGATGCAGAGGAGGGCGGTGGCCCTCTTTACCTGTTCTCAGGGTCAGCCAAGGCCATACTCCGAGTGACGTAGCACATCTTGAGGGGGATGTTTTTCCGGTCTCTATGGAAGGAGAAGGACTGCGGCGACAGAGGGTCTGAGAAGCTACCCCCTAGCCGAGGGGATTCTGGCGGAGGAGTTTCCCACCCAATCTCGGATACTGGGGAGCCTTTCTTCACATAGGGTGTGGCTTCTCGCATGTATTTCACTGCAAGCAAAAAAGACAACAAGGAGCTCTTTAAGTACATCCAGGCTGATGTCTGGAGAATCTAATTGTGTTTATGAAACTTGCACTGGACATGCTCTTACTGTTGGACCTCTTAAATTCTGAACAAGATTCAGAGTTTTTGTTTCTCTCAACATAGTTATCCTATTATTTAACTACATAGTAACATAATTCTTAGAACTTGCTAGAATGACAATCTGCAGTGGAAAACTGCTTTCACCTTTTTTTAACTGTGACAACATCAATCTTTTCTGATTGTAAACTGCATTAGGGGAAAGAGATTAAAAAACAAATGCGCACAGAGTGAAAAAACATTACTTAGGATTGCAGACTCATAATTATTCAATACAGATACAGCCACATTGACTATTTTCTATTGAGATGCACGAATAGGCTTTTCAGTTTAAAAATGCTAAGATCATATATGCAAAGAAATACATGTAAGAACTTTTTTGTAATGCACAAAATTTGTAATAGCAATGGCATTACTTCTAACAGGAAAACTAGGAACAACCTAAATATCCACCAAAAAAGGACAGGTTAAATAAATTGTGAGATATCTATACAGTCATTTAAAAAAATTGGATAGCTATAGATGTGTTGCTCTGGAAAGATCCGTAAGGTCTATGATTAGTGAAAAACAAAACAGTAGAGAGCAGTACATATACTGTAATCTCTAAAATCATAAATATATATGTTTGTATGTGCACAACTAATTTCTGAACAGAGGCACAAGAAAATGTTAACAGTAATTAGCTCTGGGGAGTGGAAATACAAGTCAAGAAGATAGAGAAAGAGATCTTACCATTCATTTATTTCCCTTTTATACCATTTGCATGTTTAACCATATGCATGTATCACTTTTATAAAATTAAAAAACATAATTTAGAGCTGAGTGAAACAGACTGAAGTTCTCTCCTTCGAGGTGTATGTCTTACTCTGAAGAAATTAGTTGCCTATTCTTAATTTAAGCATTTAGTCCGTAGACAGTTGAGTTGACAGGGCAACTAGACTCTTAGAACATGCAATATAAACTTCCGTATCCTTCTATCACCACACAGTTTGGGTCTCTGCTGCTTGGGGAGATGCGACTAAGTCCCTCGTAGGTATCTGTTATTACAAATGGCAGTGGATTAGATGAGTGCAAACCAGGGGGTATTTCCTATAGATCTTTAGTGATTCAATTCTACAAACTAGCACTTTCACCCGCGAGACATGAGCTGGGTTTCTGGAGGCTTGCAGAGGTGAACAATATGTAGTTTCCCCACTCAAGAATTACAACATCATGAGTGACTCAAGCGGATGCTGTTGGGTCTCAGCCACATCCCTTTTACCATCTATGATGTCAACAGAGATGTTGTTGATCTGGAAAGATCCATAAGGTCTATTATTAGTGAAAAACAAAACAGCTACTGTGTGTTGACTGAGAACAACTCATAGCTGCCCCCTGCTCTGGAGATCTCCTCTTGGCCTACGAGAAGCCAGCAAGCCTGGGGAGCCACACAGTTGCTACCTGACCCCCAAACACAGGCTCTGCCTCTAGGGAACTCAGTCTAAGATAGGGACGTAAGACCAGTGCATAAAATATGGCACAGAACAGAATGAGCTAAGTTTTATGACAGGAATAAAGTACCTTGGAAGGACCACAGGAAAAGTTGACCTAGGAGCTCGAACGGCAAATTAGGTTCACAATCATCCAATAAGCAAACCAACATACCTGGATGCACGTAATGTGGATATATATTTGGGGATTCAATCACAGATATAAAAAACAGCCACATTAATACAGGATAGAGGAGATGTCATTTAGTACTGATGGCTTATTTGAAAAAAAGATTTCAGGCTTTTAATGGAATATAAGTGCAGTTAAGGAGGAAATAGTTCCATGGCTGTTGGAAACCTGTTAGCACAGGTTCCAGTTACAGAAAGAGAGGAGTTATTCATGGACAGTGTGTTTTAAGGACTATATATTTTTTTCTGGGCAATATAATTAAAAAGGAACACAGAAGTACCTAAGACCAAAGGTAGACAATTTAGGGAGACAGATTTAAATTGTCCAGAGCTGGAATAAATAGGATAGACATCTTCTGAAGATATGGAATTTTTCATCTCTAACAATGTTCTAGTAGAAGCTAAATCACTGGTTCGTTTGTATGTTGTAGACTTATTGATATATTTCAAAGTCAAGCATCAGCTGAGATGGGCTGAAGAGTCTCCTTTAATTACATTACTCTCCTCTGGCTGGAGTAGGGGCTGAGTGTTGCGGGAGTGAGAATGCAGGGATGCTTCATGGAGAGTACAGTCCAATTCAAAGAGGGGACATTTTTACCTAAGACTAGATTTGACTGTAACAGGTATCCAAAATAACAGTGTATTAACAAACACACAAGTTTGTTTTTCTTTCACCAAAAGTCTAGAGTAAAGGAAAAGAACTGCTAGGGCACCTGTGCCCCTTAAAGTTGTCAGGGATTCAGATTTCTGCTCCCTTGATGCTCGAGTCATTGCTAGTATCGCATTTAATGACCCAAAATCGCTGCTTGAGTTCCAGCCATCATGACCAAATCCCCATCAACAGGAAGGGAGGAAGAAGTGAAGAAGGGTACCCAACTCTTCTCTCTTTGAGCCACTTTCCAGAAGTTAACACACTATTTCTATTTACAACCTTTGGCCATAAATTAATCACATATCCATTTCTTGATGCAAAAGAAATTTACTCTTCACTCTGATAGCCATCAGCCCAGCTAAAAGTTGGTGGGAAAGAGGGCTATTAATGAGAAAGGAGGAGAGAACAGATATTAGGGGACAACTTTCAGCTTTTTACATGGAGAGGCATCCCTAACTATGTCACAACTAGATTCTGTAGCACAAAAATAGAAGTAAATTTGTTAGTGTAATCAGTAAAAAGACAATAATAACTGTGTTCTATGTACATCACTAACGGCTTTTTGTATACTAACTCGTTTGAACCTCACAACAACCCTATGATACAGGCATTATAATCCTCTTCATTTTATCAGCAGACACTGCAACAGGAAGAGGTTAAGACAAATGCACGAAGTTAGCAGGCTAGAAAATGGCAGAAGTGTGAGTCTAATCCATGCTGCCTGGCTCCACAGTCCATACTTTTAACCACGAAGCAACACTGTTTCTCATACTTCATTTTTTTTAATTAATTGGGGGTGAGTGTTTAAGCCAAGGTTTTTATATAGTGGGAGAAAACATCTAATTAAGAGGCTGCTGCCTATAACATCAGAGAGCTTGATTCTGAGCCTGAACTGTTAAACTACGGCATTTCAATAAACGCCTTTTAAGACACTACAATATTTATGCATAATAGAGGGTTTAACCTGGCAGACTGAACAGTTAGTGTCTGCATAATTACACCTCCATGTACCTACCAAAACCAAAAACCGAACCCACTGCTGTCGAGTCAATTCCGACACACAGCGACCCTGTAGGAAAGAGTAGAACTGCCCCATAGGGTTTCCAAGGCTGTATGTAAATCATTACGGAAACAGACTGACACATTTTTTTCCCCCCGATAAGCAGCTGGAGAGCTTGAACCACCAATCTTTCAGTTAGCAGCCGAGCGCTTAACTATTGCACGACCAGGGCTCCTACCATGTACTTACAGATAGCAATTATAGGCAAAAAAAAAAAAAAAACCATTGCCGTCGAGTTGATTCCAACTCATAGTGACCCTATAGGACAGACTATAACTGCCCCAGAGATTTTCCAAGGAGCACCTGGTGGATTCAAACTGCTGACCTTTTGGTTAGCAGCCATAGCTCTTAACCACTACGCCACCAGGGTTTCCATTTTAGGCAAAGAGCTGTCGAAATGGATCAACCAGCAGCCAGGCCCAGGTTCAGGGTACTTAATAATCTGACCTAATTAATAAACCATGCCCTTTCTGGGCACCATGAATTAAAAACTGGTTGCACAATTAAAATTCCAATCTTCAGCTGCAAAAAAAGGGGAGGAGAGCAGTAAGAAGCGGTCTTCAAACCAATAATCCACAAGTCACTTTCAATATTTGTAGTTTTTCATTTGAAGGACATGCGTTGTTAGACTTTCAAAAGAACATTCAGTAAGGCCCAAATTTTCCAAGGCCCCAAGCTGCTATAATTAAACCTTTGTTGGGACAGCCGGCCGGATGACATTTGAAAAGGAAAGAGAGACAGTGAGAGACAGAGAGTGTAAGTGTGTGTGCGTGCATGTGTGCATCTGTGCACAACTAATGAGGAAACGCTTTAGGCAAATCCAATCAACTCTCCTACCAGTTTCTGAAAAGCCAGGAAGGCCCTTCAGTATGTTCTCAACTTTTCTTTTTAAAAACGCCAACAAAAGAAAAGGCATTTCCAGACAAGAAGGAAAAAAAATGTCACTACTCTAGGGGATGGGAATAAGGAGCCCTGGCGGCACAATGGTTAAGTGCTCGGCTGCTAACCAAAAGGTGGGCGGTTCAAACCCACCAGCTGCTCCATGGGAGAAAGACGTGGCAGTCTGCTTCCATAAAGGTTACAGCCTTGGAAACCCTATGAGGCAGTTCTGCTCTGTCCTATAGGGTCGCTATGAGTCAACAACAATAGGTTTTTATGGGTAGGGAATGTGAACACAAAATGTACATTTTCTGATGTGATTAAGGGGAGAGGGGATCTCCTGGAGGCAACAAACGTGGGTATTCACACATTTGGCGAAACCTCCAAGAGGAGGAGAGAGGTTAAGACAAATGCCTAAAGTCACAGGCGAAGACAGGACTCCCTGACAAAATGGAAAATAAGACTTTCCCTTAATGGCATTTTCCTAGATCACCTTAGAGAGGAACGATGCAGCGGGAGAGCATCAATATTTCCAAAAAGATTGAGAAATAATTAAAGACATAAGTTTTCCAGGAAACTATAGTTAATATCTCAGGAGGCTGAATAATGCAGGGGAAACAGAATTGGCCCGGGAGTCAGGGACCTGGATTATAGTTCCAG